GGCAGCAAAGAAGAACAACAAACTTTGTTACCGAGAATTTTCCGAGGTACCTAAACCTGATAATTTCCTGTCCTACATTGGAGACATGGCTAAGTTATTCTCCGGTGCCTCATTGACTGACAATGCCAACACCGGCGTCGTTAAGCTCGGCGATGGCCGTGTCGTTTGCCTTACGGAGACCATCAAAGGGTCGATCGTGGTCGATCCTGCGACTTTAGAAACGATTGGGAAGTTCGAGTACGATGATAACTTTGGGGGGCTGATTCATTCGGCTCATCCAATTGTGACAGATGAGGAATTTATATCTTTGTTGCCTGATCTGATCAACCCTGGATATACTGTTGTGAGGATGGAACCAGGGACAAACGAGAGGAAATATATTGGAAGGGTGGATTGCCGAGGAGGACCAGCGCCTGGTTGGGTCCATTCTTTCCCTGTGACCGAACACTATGTGATTGTACCGGAGATGCCGCTGCGATACTGTGCACAAAACCTACTCAGGGCTGAGCCCACTCCACTATACAAGTTTGAGTGGCACCCTAAGTCCAAAGGGTTTATCCATGTCGTTTGTAAAGCCAGTGGCAAATTAGTACGTCCCTCTCTCTCTCTCTCTCTCTCTCTCTCTCTCTCTCTCTCTCATTGTCACGAAGCAATTCGAACACCGCATACATACATAGAGATAATTACAAATTTATGCTATACAAAACTGGACTGCTAATTCTAGTATTTCGTGAACTTGCTTGAAGTTGAGTCGCTAACTAATCAAAACTATTGGTTTTAGCTTTTCTTTATTTGACAAGCCCAACTCGTAAAGTAGACTAATTGATAATCATTTCCAAATGGTTTAAGGATCTGCTCGACTTGGATTTGACTTGGTTCCCTACATTTTTTACGACTTTTGGTTGAGTAGTAAAACAAGTTTGGATATAAATTTTAACCTTGTTTGATAAGAAATCTTAAAAAACAAAAAAAGGTACTCGTATAAAATAATGTTAATCTAAGTTTGCTTGCCTCATTCACTCCCTACACACTGTTAATCTGATTTAACTATAATCTATTATCATATCATATATGGATGCATTTATTTAACTACAAACAAGAGGAGGGTATGGATGACATCAATCCTAGAGACATTAAATTAACCAAGAAGAAGCCGGTTTAACTTTGTTTTTACAGGAAATCACAAGAGAATCCTACATCGAATTTTTATATGCTCGATGTTCTGAATCTTGATAACATGTCTACTCTTGTCCAGTATGAATACGATGTATGCTGCCATCATTTTCTGGTCCAATTTTGTTCCCTTGATCATGATCTGCTATTGTTTGTGTTGCTAAGGTGGCAAGCGTAGAAGTTCCCCTATTTGTCACATTCCACTTCATCAATGCATATGAAGAGACAGACGAAGATGGAAGGATTAAGGCAGTGATTGCTGATTGTTGTGAGCATAATGCTGATACAACAATTCTTGAAAAGCTGAGGTTACAGCATCTTAGATCATTCAATGGCGAAGATGTCCTTCCAGATGCAAGGTACCTTGCTCTTATATATACATCAAATTTTTTAGAGTTAGTCCTATGCAATGACGGAGCCAAGGGGGGGCAGAGGGGGGCCATGGCCCCCCCTAAGTTTTGAGAATTTTAATTCATAATATGTAAATATGTGTGTAAAATAAAATTGGCCCCCCTAAATTTTTTCAATTTTAGTTTATATTATGAGAGTTGATATATATATATATATATATATATATATATGAATTAGTCATCTTTGAATGGAATTTCAATTTTGGCCCCCCCAAAAAAAAATCCTGGCTCCGTCACTGGTCCTATGTACACTACCATTATAGTTGAAATTAGTATAGAAAATTGAAAATTTTCAGATTAGTTATCATGCATCTAATGAAAATAGTGTATACACTGTTAATATATAGAAAGTTAATTAATCCAACTTTAAATAGGTATACAAATTTTTGGTTAGTAACATTTCCACAAATAGGATATTAATTTGTCTTGATCAAATGGCATAATTACGCAGGCCTGTTTCCTTGCAAATCTTGAATTGGTTCATTGTCAGTTGATAATTAGCCTGTCATTTTCTAGGTTATGTAATAAATTCTTTGTCATTATCACCAACCGAGTTAGTCTAACCGTTATCAAGATTTTCTTTATGATAATTATGATTCATGTCAAACTTTCCCGTCCAAAATCACAAAAGAACAAACGTTTTAATAAATTAGTGATTATGATTGTCTAACTCATTTTCCCTTCTGAAGAACTCTATCTTCAGAAGGGAAAATAAAATCGAGTTTCTTCAACAGTCGGCTCTGCATGCAGATGCATGGACTTTAAGAATCATCGTCTTTCTCATATGTGTCATATATATGTGGCCAAACATCGTGGGAACAATTTGGAAAATAGTTACCCATGGCCATATATATATATATATATATATATATATCTGACTTGACAAGAAGTGAAAGCCTCATCAAGGAATCCTAACCTAGTGAAAGTTGATGAAGAAAACGATAGATATAAGAACCCTTTTGCATGCATGGTCAACACATCGCATTATAACATCAAAGCGCCGGCTTTCGGCTGCCCATATTTCGTCAAATCTGCTTTTCGTCTGCTTGTTTTTTTGGCCTCGGATAGTGCATGCACGTCTCTTTCTAGCTAGCTAGTTCACCCATTCATCACTTTGACTTACAAGAACCTTCTTTGCTTTCATAACAATGGTGTAATCCAGTTACACATCATTTTCAGATTATTTGCCTAGGCTTGAATCCAAGAACACATTTTGGCCGCAAATCAAGGGGTCATTGACTTGTAAACTGATTCTTGATGTGGAGGAAATTAAAAAAAAAAAACAAAATTTGACAGAAGTGTATGAATGATATTAACAGGGTTGGCCGATTCATAATACCGTTGGATGGCAGCCGATATGGGAAATTAGAGGCAGCATTGAACCCTGATGAACATGGGAAAGGCATGGATATGTGTAGCATAAATCCTGCTTATTTAGGAAAGAAGTACAGATATGCCTACGCCTGTGGAGCTCAAAGGCCTTGTAACTTCCCAAATACACTCACTAAGGTACGTACTATACTATTGATCCTTTAAGGGCCAATTCTTTTTTTTTTTGGTTCATAATTTTTGTAGCCATTTAATTTGGGAGGGAGAATAGATCCAAAAGAGCTACTTTCGGATTGCGAAAAGCAAACTCCAATTGACTGTTAAAATATTGCTGTGTTATTGCAGATTGACTTATTTGAAAAGAAGGCAAAGAATTGGCATGATGAGGGCTCCGTGCCCTCTGAACCATTGTTTGTGGCTCGACCAGGTGCAACAAGGGAAGATGATGGTATGGTTTGATTAGGCCTCTTCCCATTGCTTTATATAATAATAATAATAATAATAATAATAATAATAATGATAATAATATAATCCAGCCGAACTAAAGTCAATTAATTGTAGCACTAATTTGTTTTTGGCCTGTTCTTCATCATCCATTCCCACCAACTACGCAATCTCAGAAAAACAATTAAAGAAAAAACACCGTACGTACATTTGGCTTTGGGACTGAATCATATTACCATTTGTATACAGGAGCTGTGATCTCAATGATCAGTGACAAAAATGGGGACGGATATGCTTTAGTATTGGATGGAACAACGTTTGAAGAAATTGCCAGAGCAAAATTCCCCTATGGTCTTCCATATGGGCTACATGGCTGCTGGGTTCCAAAGAAGTAAAACAGAGAAAAGAAGATGATATTTGACAGACATCCATCAGAATTATACACTGAACTAATCAAGAAACACCACCATGTTTATGGTGATTTGATATCTTTGGGCATCATAAACTAGCCATCAATAAGCAATTTTGTTCATCTCTATATATATATATATATATATATATATATATATATGGTGAAGCAATGTGGTTAGTTATCAGTATAGTGCTTTTGTGTTCTTGTTAACTGAACACTGAGGCGATGATATTCCTTGTAAATCTGTGTTTTTGGTAATGAAGTTGAAGATCTATTGTGATATATTATTCACAGTGAAGAACGGCAAATTTCCGAAACTCCAACTGCTAAAAGTTTTTACTAATACCGTGTAACTGGTGAAAAAATGAAAATGTGAGGGAGAGAAATTTATTTGTTTATGTCTTTTTGTTAGAAACAAAATCAGAATACATCAATATTAATATAGGAATTATAAAGCTCTAGCTAAAGTACACAGGCAATGTGCACAAACATAGAAATGAAAACAAAAGTATGTCCTTTTGGTCACCTGAACGTTGACTACCAACTCCTCATGCAATCATAGAGGAAATGGTCTGCTAAAACAAAAAAAAAAAAGGCCAGCAATTGCAATCGAGGGTGTGAAATTTCTTACACAACCAGTTAAAGACGTACTCGCAACTATTAGGTGAACAAAATTCTGGTGTTTTTATACCTCTAATGATCTATTGGGTACATGGCTAAAGACGAGATTGAACCTCGTGGAGACATTAAATAATGTTAGCGTCAGGCGGTCGAGATCTCTTTCTTGGAAAGAAAATTGCATCAACGAACTCTTGTGGTAAAACAACTCTAATGTGTGTTCTCATCTTTGCCAATGGGTAATTCTCATCTTCCATGTTCTATAAGATGCATTTAAGCTGCAAAATTGCATATTCTGAGCAAGAAGTCACACAGAGAATGCGTAGATACTTACATTCTTGATTCAAGGGAAAATGAGTCATAAACATGAATGTGGAAACATATGTACAGCTGAGCAAATGTTTTTGTAGCAAGTGAAGGGGCAATGAGTCAAGGGACTGAGACAATAAAAGTTCTGATTATATCGGTGCAACAGCCTACCAAAATGGCAAATCTGTCAGGCTCTGGAAAGGTAAAGAAGGGAAAGAATTATTACGATTAGACTTTCACAAAGAGAATACATTACATACCAATGAAATAGGATCAACAGCAAATGAGTGTCAGTAAGCAAATCATGAATCAATTTCAGGACTCCAGTAAATTATATTTGTGATTGTGAACAACCTTACAGAAGATGAATTAGAGGAGCTATAAGCAAAAATTCAGGCGCCAATGAGATCATGATGAAAAGGGTCGCTCTCCAGGGTTGTCTTCAAAATCGGAATCTACGGGTTAATCTAAACTAGTATCTAGAAGAAAAGAGCATATGGCATTAGTTACAACTCGATCTTTTCATCAAAACTGAAAATCGAATATGTATATTTTCCTGTGCAATATTCTGTCAATGCTACTGCTACCAGATATTTCTAAGCAATGTTCTCCAATGAATGTTGGATGAAGCCATCCGCATCATCCATGGAATATTTATGCTAAGCCTAACAGATCTAAACCTCAGTGACATTTTAGGTGTTTATTACAATTATTGATCTCATAACTTCTGATCTGTATACACGGCATCAACATCATCAAGTTCAAGCAGTTTGGACATGAGTTCTCTGTTCAAATCCATAGCCTCATCATCTACCTGCAGACCACAAGAAAGCCTTTCAGTCACTCGAACAATAGATTTATTGTTGCAATGCTTCTTAAAGCAAACAAAAATCTTGAGATAACTGGAAAATCATACATGATAATATCCAGAATGTATGGACCGCATAAACTAGTCAAGTTAAAGTATTTGCTATATACTTGGCAAATATGTATCAACATGTCAGTTTACCAGAAGAACTACCTGAGATAACAAATCTCGGAGAAATGGTTATTGTAATTAAAATAATTATTCCAAGCAAAGTGATAGATCTTCAAAGCTCTCTCCAATTTATCAAATAATAGGGCAAAAGACAAAAAGCCCCCTGTAATAAACCTAATATACAGAAAAATCCCCCGTGATTTCAAAACGTACAACACGACACTTCATGCTTTGAACTAAATTGTAAAAGTGACGGAATCCGTTAAACTTAACGGAAATAACTTATTGGAACCTAAAAAAAAAATTTTTATACCTAATTTTTACCAAATATACCTGTTTTACCTCTTAACCCTCAGTTCTCTCTCTCTAGAGAATAAAACAAATGATTTTGTCGAATTGTCTTTTGCTTAATTATATCAAGGCATTTTTGTCATTTCATCCATTTCCGTTAAGTTTAACAGATTCCATCACCTTTACAATTTAGTTCAAAACATGAGGTGTCGTGTTGTATATTTTGAAACCATGGAGACTTTTTGTATTTTAGGTTTACCACAAGGGGCATTTTTGTTTTTAACCCCAAATAATAAGATGAAAACATCATAAGACCATTTATAGTTTTATCAGCCCTCACTCTTGTCTCAGTCTGAATAGAGTTGTTTTCTTCTCTTCACTGAGGCTTCGATGTCTAAAGCCTGTTAGCTGTTCTTGGGTATGTTGAGATAAAAGATGGCACATCTTCCTACATATTTTCTTTGTTGTTGCCTAATAATTCCCCACCTCATTACCAAAGTGTTCCTCAAAACATCAGAAGTTCTTTCGTAGAAAAACGCGAGTAAAATGCAGAACTTTGATGGTCATCATGGTCATAATTATCATTCTAAAATTAAAAAGCTGGATTTATGCGTCTCTCGTAGAATCAGAGAATCATTTTCAAAGTTCACTAGACGCAAGAATCTTTATTACCATCATTCAGATCAGTTGATAGCGTCTACCTTAGACAGGAACTTCCCCCGTAATAGAGTGATAAGGACAGGGAAAACAGTCTTTTACATTTACTTACCTCAATCGGATTTATGGGAAGTAGCTCAGATCCATTATCAGTTTCACATGGAATTCCAGCATCACGAAGCTTTGATAGCATATCAGAGTAATTCTCAGCTGAACTCACAACTTTATAATGTCTGCCAAAGGACCATGAAAACATTAAAAACTTCAACAGTTAAGCACTATAAATTAAAAGAAAAGTCAAAGTACTTCCTCCAGATGCTGCATAAGGTAGAGCGCAATTAAATTGATGCCAAATGTACTTAAGGAGATTTCAGAATTTTTACGAATGACACAACTGATTGTAGTCTCTCTCTCTCTCTCCTCTCTGTTGGACACACGCACACACACCATTTTTTCTTTCTTGCGGTTGGAGCAGACATTACATGTTATCATCACCACCTAAAGATTATAACAGATTAGGAATTTGCTCAAGGCCACACTTCTCAACCATTTCAACCCAAATGAACATTAATAATGAACAAGATTCACCAATAAAGTAGGGAACCTTGAGAGAGATAGGACTTGTGACAGAATTTCCTTGTGGCAAAATATATTTTCAGGCAGATAGTTATGATTTTAAGGGACAAAAAACAAGCAAATCTGCACAACAACAATAAAAGCAATAGCTCAAGTTACACATATGGAAACGAGCTCCAAACACCTTTCTGACTTGTCTTCTTCAGAATCATCTTCATCCAGTAAAGGTTCTATGATGTCTTCAGCACCAGCATCTAAAGCAATAGAGAGAAGTTGGTCTTTCTCAACATCTGTTACCTTTATGTTCACAACCCGAGCACGTTTGAACTTGAATGCTATTGAACCAGAATCAGCCATCTTTCCACCACAGTCTTTAAGTACGCCTCTGATAGCTGCCACTGATCTGTTTATTTTATCTGTTAATACTTCAACAACAATACCAGCTCCACCATAACCATATACCTGAATATAACAGGCAGAAAGTTCAGAGCTTGTTATATCCATCAAAGTTGTAAACATAAAACTAGCATGGAAATGGAGATGAACATGTAGCACGCAAAAAATTAATCATGGACTGGACGATACATACAAGATGAATGCTACCTCATATGTTTTCTCGATGTAAGCTTCCTGACCCTTCTCTGAAGCTCTCTTAATGTTACGCTCAAGAATTTCCTTAGGCACATCAAACTCCTTAGCTTTCTCAAGTAATGCAGCAAGAACTATGTTAGATACCGGATTAGGACCTCCTTTCTTAACCCTATAATAGACATATCATGACTATCAGTTAGCAATGTCGCTCGGGGTAACCAGTCCAGAAAATACTTCCCTGTTTATGAAAAACAGAAATAAGACTTCTATAGGAGTTCCTTGTACACTTTAAAGGTTCAACCTATTTGTTAAATTGGTGATCAGAGGCAAACTTACGCTGATACAACCTCTTTTCCAATCCTTGAATACAATTTTGTCTTCTTAGCATCTTGGGCTGTCTGCAATCAAAAAGAGATTCACTGAACATAGAGGTTAATTATAAATGCAGACCCTCAACTTCTAATCCAATGCCAAGGAAGCACAAGATCAAAATAGAAATGCGTTGATATTCCTCCAATTCAAATTTTTCTTAATTTGCAGTAATCACCAACTTTATATGCTTTGCATGCCTCCATAGGAAACCAGAAAGAACACAGTTATACAAAGTGATTGAATGAAATGCCAATAGAACACAAGATCAAGCAATCATCGAAATTTTATCATTTTGAACAGGGTTGTTGATACAACAAGCTCCACATTCGTAAGATCAGCAAATCTACTACCAAAATCATTTTTTCTACAACTCAATATGTACTCAAAGCTCAAGCTAACTATCTAATAAAGGACATTGATTAACACCATTCATGGCGACTGCCAAAGAAATTGCACTCATCTTCAGCCACACGACATAGACTAGTTTTTCACTGGAAATATTCATAAATTATACCTTTTGCAGTTAATTCAATATATTCTCTCAAGCAATTAATCAAACAGGTACATCTTGAAGTTGAATTAGAGTTGCTCAATAACCCCACGTATCATCAAATTATCAACAAATAACAATGAACAACTAGTCACAAGAGCCACCAATATCACACAAAAACGAAATTGGAGATATACAAGTACTTACCTTTCTACCAGCAATTTTGCAGGAGCGCCTCCCCATAAAAAGAGGGGCGAAAGTTCGAATCTTTCTAACAGAATTCCCAGTTCCGAAGTGAAATGCCGAAACCCATTTGCCTGATGATGAATACCGCGAGCAAGATGATAGCTTTTCGCTGAAAAATAGCTTCCCTGGATCCAAAGAAACAAGTTCAAAACTTTATGTAGCAAGACAAAGAAGTTGTCTGTGGCGGGGCGACACAGAAAAAATGTGCTTACTTTGAAGAGCGAATGAGTGAGAGGGCCTAAGAAAAACCCCATTTGAGAATCTGCAAATCAATGAACCAAACGATCTAATTGAAGAAGAAGAAGCCATACTGATGATTGCTCTTCTTTATCTCTGCACACTTTTTTTTTTTTTTTCCAATTCAGTTGGCAGTCACATTCCCCTTTCGGGTGTCTATGTTGACTGGAATTTCGATTAGAGGATTGTGGAAGCTATGTAATTTGTAAATGAGCGTATAAGGTTTAAGCGACTGTAATTTGTATCCTCCGAATTTCCAACTTTTTACATGTTTTTCCTGCATGTCGTTTATTCCTTTGAGCACTAAGTGACCTGCACAACAGGGTTAATTTCTGGATTTATCCTTCTCTTTTCTTTGTTGTGTGCAAGAATTTTCTCAAATATAGATAAAAAGTCCTTCTAAAACCAATCGAAGGTTGAGACTGAGAGTAACGCCCCATTTGATAACCCAGTTCAGCGCTTAAATTTAATGGATTTAGGTTATAATATATTCAGACGCATTTGATAACAAAAAAATAGAATATATTAATTAATTAAGTAACAGTAAATCTTCTAAACAAAACTAACTCCGAAAAATAAATGATAAACTACTCACTTATCAGTTAATGCAAAACATGCTGAAATGTTAAAATTTTATACTTAATACATTTTAATTTTATCAAATGCACCCTAAGATTATTCATATCTAAGAAAGAATTTCTGGGTGAAATAAGCCCCTCCTACGCTCCCCACTCCCGCCTCCCCAACCTCCAATAGAAATATTGAATTGACATCTAAACAAATCAATAATTATTTTTATTGGATTTATAAGGTTAAATTTGGGGGACAAAAAAAAACCAAAAAGTGTCAAGAGCGCCATCACACTTCTGGTATAGGTACAGATACATATACATGTTAGTAATTCAATCTTGTATCATCGCATAAATCAAGTTCAATTTTATATCGTTCCAATGTCCCAAGAACCAAGAGAACGGATACAGATAACCAAAAGAACCCACATAGATAGTTTTAGAATGCTGTTGTTAGGACCCTCAAAACTATCTATTTGATTTTGACCAAAAAAAAAAAAGAAATGAACCAAATATTTGATGTTTTTTAGAGAAGATAAATCTGAAGGCGTGATTTTGTGCCTCGGATGCATTTATATTTTGGGCTTGCTCATGGAGATTGCTATGAAAAAAATTGAGGCTTCAAGTATTAGTAAGGTAGAATACATTCATCTTTGAGGATGTTCAAACTAGTAATGAATTCATACTAAGTATCGAACGAACTGTAGCAGTTGTAACTCTAACTAGAAGAAATGATAACCAATTCGTTAACAACGCGTCAAATCTTCTGAAATATAGAACCATAATCTGTTATCCCTTCAAAATGAAACCAGATTCTAAATAAGTGAAAGGACAATGCAGATGAGAAAATCCACTCATTAGATTAAATGTGTGCAAGGAAAAAGGACAACATCCTCCTCACAAAATATAGAAAGCTTAAGCTCCATTTGGATTGCTATTCTTAAGAGTTTTTTGTAGAAAAATATACTGTAGCAATTTGATGTATATGAGGTAAAAAAGTGATTGAGAAATATGTTCGTGGAAAACGTAAAAAATTTTCTGCGGAAAAAAACTATACAAAAATCCGATACACACAACTAATCCATGACCTGACTTATGTGAGTGCCTAACCCCAACTTATGTTCTAAACACTAAATATTGAAGCTCAAATTAGAGGAGCAACGTAACTCATTCAAGAGAAGGGCACTTTCTAGTTCAGACCCTGGAAAAGGAACAGAAATATATGCAGCACATATGGAGTGACAATTGTAAGTTTGTAACTCCCCTTGTGTTCAGTTGTAATGCAAGCATTCTTGTTTTCTAGATGTATATAACTATCAAATTCAAATACTTCTATATGGCAATTCCTGCATACGAAGGCTGCTAAATGCACATCTTTAACCACAAATCTAAAATCCTAGTAAATGTAGACAGAGTTCCTCTATAAAAGCCTGAAAGGCAAGAATTCATATGCCAATACTTAAAACTTGTGCTGACAACATCAAAAGCACGTATTGGAACACATTGAGAAGACCATCAAGGCTTGTACTGCTAGCAATATCAAGTGTAATTGAACAACTGAACACCTCCATTCCTAGCCCTCTAAAGATGATATATTGTGCCTGCTGAAGACAATCTGCAAATTCAACAGAGAAAAAATGTTGATCAAGTACAACAAGCCCAAGGTAACTCCTCACTCTAGAGATTACACCCTCGTATATGGAGTTAAGAGCCTGAACATGACGTTATATGGCAGAAGAAAGGACACGCAAGAACAATGATTTGTGGTTTCTACATCAGTATCGCATAGCACACAAGATGTATTAATAAGGATCCCTAGGCCAGCAATCTAGACTTAGTAAAAAGCCTACCTTTACAGAACAGAATGAAATCCTGGGAGCAAGTCAGTCACACAACATAAGTGAAAGCCAGCAAAGAGTAGGGTGATGTGACTGTAAAGATACAAAGGCCGATTTAAGTGGGAGCAGACCAGATTTAGCCATTTAGGTACTAACAAGTAATCTAATCTTTCCTAGACACTAGATCAGATTGCTAAAAATTCTAATCAAGATTACTTTAACATTTGAAGGTTATTGGCAAACAGAAAGACAATATCCCCGCAAGGAAAACGAATTGTACATCCAGCATACACAAAGAAGCTTTGTATCATTACAACTATCATCTCTAGGATTCCATGCAACTGCTCCTTAACTGCTTCTTTACCCAAACAGAGAGTCTTTAACATGATCTAACAAGACTCACAAAAGAATATAAATAAATTTTATGAGACAGAAACATGGGAACGATAGTAATGAAAGTGGACAACTAGAAAAACAGAAAGAATATACCTTGACAAACTTGAGCACCATTAACTCAAATCCATTTGACATTTCTACATAAACAAAAAGAAAAAAAATATAAAACAATGAAAAAGAAAAATCACCAGTCAGACACGAACATAGCTGTCTGGAGAAAGTACGAACTCCAACTTCTAGTTGGCTCACGTTTCAGACCACATGCGAAAGGTGAGCATTCTAAAACTACAGGGATGTTATGTTATACTTCATAATGGTTCACGAACCACAGGCTATTCTTGACCTTAACTTTTATGAATGAGCATTACATTAGCATCTTGTAAAGGATATTATAATGGCACCACATGCTACAAGATATCCAATTCTTTTGCAGATTCACCAAATTGGCCTTCTAGTAGGGATACGTCCTAATGTGAAATCCCTTCACCTAGAATAGAAGTTTGAATTTCTGTCTTGTCTTTGCCTTTGCACTTATCATCATCATGTTTGTCTAGAATACAATGAGGAGCAAAAATCACAGTATAAGAGCTGTCACCCGCATTGAAACCAAATTGCTTTATAAAAATGGCATACAGGAACGGGAAGTAAAAGAAAAGGACACAGTTACCTGCAGAACAATTCCTTCTACTAACAAATGTAAGTCTTTTATTGGTCTATAACCTCCAAGAAATCCGACAATCTGGCCTAAATATATTCCCCTGCTCTGTAACAGGAATCCAACTTCTCAATCTTTGATCCATCCCAATAAACTCCAAAGATTGGCATCCAAGCACCAGCTCTTCGACATCATTTACGTTAAATTTATAAATACCATACAATTCTAGCTTACGTAAAGACTTGTGGCTAGTAAATGCACGGATACCATCTCCTGTAACCAATTCACAGCCCTCTAAATGAAGTGTCGCCAAATTTTTGCTATTTTGAGCCAGAGCAAAAACTGTGTCATCAGATACATTTATCAGCCACGATAAATTCAATCTCTTGAGACTTTCAATTGCAGCCACAGCCCTCCCACCAACATCAGTCACTTTTGGACCACATTCTGCCAATTTCAATACCTCCAAGGACTTCATTGCCACCAATTTCATCACCCCATCATCCGAAATTCGATCACATTCTGCAAGATTTAAGAACTCAAGGGACTTGCACAGAGACCCTTTTGCCAAAGAAGCCAGCCCCTCATCAGAAATTAAACAACAACCTTGCAAATTCAAGCTTGTCAAAGCACTCATGGTCCCAATTGCCTCAAGTGCTTCATCACTAATCCCTTTACACCATCTCACGTCCAAATTCACTAAATTTCGCGAAAGCTTAACAAGCGAAGAAACTCCAGCATTGCTGACTCCTCTTCTCCGCCTCAACACCACTGACCTCAAATTGCAACACCCTTTTGCCAGAGCACGTAAACCAACATGGCCAAAGTCGGAATGTCTAGCTGATGCCCAGGTGTGAAATGCCTCGTGGTAGTAGAGGTTGAGTTTCTGAATGCTGGGGCATGTTCTTGCAAGAAACTCCATCTGGGCATCTGAGATTGGCTCCGATGATTCAAACATAAGCAAATTTGGGAATCTTGGTAGAAAACTTAGGAGGTAATTAGGCTCAAAAACGCGGAGAGAAAATTTATTCAAGCCTTCAACATTGCACCAACGCTTGCAAACCAGAGAAAATGAATTTCTGTCACGAGGGTCTTGAATCCATTCCAAAATTGAGGCTAATTCATCTTCCCCAAGCCTATCCATTTCACAATTTCGGCTGATGTGAGTTCTAAGATTTTGCAAAAATATTTGAATCCCTAATGCTCAGAACTGAGTTTGAGGGGGTTCAATGTTCTTTAAGAGGCGGCGGTAATTGGGCGGGTGGAGCAGGAATTGGGCCACCTATTGATGGGTTTACTATTATGGTTGGGCTATGATCCAACTAGTCTAAACTTTCAATGGGTTACTTTTGGGAAAAGTGAACTTGGGTTCACTCAAACCCGAATACCCAAAATGACCCAAATCAGTTTTTAACTCGATTTTAGGTAAATTACACATTTTAGTTCGTCGTACTTTGGATTAAAGTGTAATTATCTAATTTTTTTTTTGTCAAATTCAACTACAAAATAAATGAATTCATAACTTCACAAATTTTAGTTTTTTTTTTTGCATTTTTCTTTTTAATATCTTAGTTTTTTTTTTTCCTTTTCCATCTATTTTCTCAAGTCAAATATGATTTTGTAAAAATTTAGAGGGTCAAAGTGCAATTTCGAAAATTATTGTTATCCTGATAGTCTAAATGTTTGTAACAACACTCTTTACCGCTTTTACATGTTGTTTCATAACTGAATATTCTATGGTTTTGGTAAGTTAACATTTCATTTATTAGATTTGAAAGGGCATATTTTCAAAATTTTATAGTCCTTGAGTTATTGGTTTTTTTCATAATGTTACCTTTGACCACACATAGAATAAATTATATATTATTTCAATATTTCTATTATTTGTATATTAATTCAGTAAATCATATCCATAGAACTATTTCAAGGAAAGGCTTGCATATTCTCTATGTTTTATATTCCTAGAATTATCGATAAGTTTTATGATCTTTCTTTTCTTTAATATTGACTAGGTTTTAGACTAATAAAAATTATGATACACCTAACCTGCGCTCATACATTATTGAAGTTTTTTTTTTTTTTTTTGTTAGTGTAAGTGAGATAGTTCGAAATTGGGATCTCTCACTTATACTCCGTTCCCCAATTATTGAAGTCGTTACATATAATGCTTCTAGGTAAACTGCAAATGCATGTGACAAACAACTTTATCTGGATAAACAGAAAGTACTAATTAAGGTAAAAACTAAAGAAAGTGCAAAGGAAGAACAATGATCAAATTTGTCAAGTATGCTTAGAGAAAATTTCTTCTTCAACTTGTGCTAGATATCCTTGAACCACCATTCAGATTATATTCAATATTCATGGACTATTCGCACAATAAATTAAGTGTAATACATATTATAGAAGCTGTTAAAATCTATTTATTTATTTTCCAAAACTTTCTGTGGAAATCGAATACATTTATACCACAAAATTATAGTTATTAATATTCTCAACACAGGTGTGTACCTGTACTTTGCATAAGACTAGAGTAAGTTCTGTCACAAAACTACCATGTTCTGCTCATACAAGTAAATCTTCTGCAGAATACGGATTAATTAAAATGAGAATCAAATGAGTTGCACAGAACTTATTGGCAAATCTAGAATGAACATATAGAATTACGGATTGATCTTATATATATTAACAGTGTATACACTATTATGGTTGGATAAATGACACATAATCTAATTTAAACTTATAATTCAAATTTTGCAGATATGTCATTCATCTAATCATAAGAGTATATATATACTGTCAGTGCATATAAGATTTATTAATAGATTAATTAGGTAGGGCGAAGCGAAGAGAGGACGACATCTTGGAGTGAGCTGTCTCTTTGCATTGCAGCCTTAAACTCTTCAAAGGTGACTCTTCCATCACTGTTGGCATCCATTAGATCAAATATCTCATCTAATTTCCCAGGTTCAGTTATATCCACCGGAAGGCAGTCATCAGGTAATGCCTGCAAGTTTTGTTTCAAGAAATTCTAGTGTATCACATAAATGTTATGGTACAAGAATTTATATATACAACCCAAAAGGTCTCAAGAATTAGCTTGTGGTTGGAAAAGGGAAGAGGGTTACTCTAAGCATTGAGGCTACTTCTTCCTTGCTGATGCATCCTGACCGGTCTGTGTCGTACATCTGAACACCAAATTTCTTCACTTTAACCAAATATCATGTTGTTCAACAATTAATGTACAGAAGATAAATAAAATACTTCATGTCATGTTCTTTTTTTCCCCTTAATTATTGTCAGTGCTAGATCAATTTGGCAGTCTAAAGCAAAGAATCATTGCTGGATGTGGATCATTGGCATCTGAAGAGGGACCAAATTAATATACCTGGAAACAAAGGCGAAGTGCATCATCTCCTTGTGAATATTTGAGACAGGAGAAGCCCCCTATTATCTCTCGCATGTCAACAGTGCCATCACGATTGTTGTCGAACAAATCAAAGATCCGAGCTGCTAGAGGAACCAGTGATGACATTTCCATTGATTTTAGCACTTCCTCGAACTGAGATAATGTGGCATTCTCACCATTCGTGCATCTGCAGATATTTCAATGAAAAGATACAATTGCAAATTACTCATTCTACTCTCATTAAGTCTTGTTTGAAGTTCCCCTTTTCCCCTAGTTCTGTATGCTTTAGTTGGTGAAACCAAAACCAAAAAAAATCCAGCCAATGAGGTCTTGATCTAATGGTCAAGGTTGAGATCATAAAATTTAAAAGTATTTATTTAAAATCTGTGAATTTTGTTTAACTTATGGATTACGTGAACGGATACCAAAAAAAATAAAATAAAATTTTGGGCTTCTTATACTCTTATTAAACACACACAAAAAAATTCAGAAAATGACAATTGGAATCGAAAACATCAAAGTTTAGTACTATTAACTTCTCACAATTTGCTCAAAGGCCCTTGAATCCTTTAAAAATGTTCATTTCACCATCTGTAAACTTTTGGCTGCGAGGAAAGGCTTCTTTTTTCTTTTTTTTTGGCGAGGAAAGACTAATTATATATAAACCCTTGCAGTTGAAGAAACACATGAAGAATGGAAGTTTGACCGGGGAAAAGAATTAGAACACTGCACCCAGTTTTGCAAACCAAGTTGAATTACTGCAAAACTAGGTTTCGCTCCTTAGCAAGTTCAAAATCTTTATAGAATAAATCTTATATACACTGACAGAGTGACAGTGTATACACTATCATCGTTAGATTCATGATATACATGCAAAAGTTAAATTTCAAATTCAAATTTTGCACAGTTGTCATTCATCTAATACTGACAGTATATATACTGTCGGTGTAGGAAAGATTAATCTTTGTTTATAAGCACAAACTTTTGCCCCCACAAACTTGAAACTATTTTATATTATTTCTTAAATTCAAAATATGCAAAAAGTTTGCCTACTCAAAAGTAAATTTTCTAATTCTGTATACTAAATGAAGTATTAAGTTGAGCAAATTCAAAGGTTTACCCACACACTTTAAGTAAATTATCGTGGTACTCGAGTGCTGTAGAAAAAAAAAAAAGTTACAAAATAGTAGTATTATTTTTGAAACAAGGTTTGGTGACTTACATTCTCTTGAAATGTATTCTGAGATTCTCCAGTTCCTCAGGCTTGAGGTCATAGGATCCGACCAAATTCTTAAGCTTTTTGGTTCTCAAGGAAAAACTAGTGCTTAACACGCTTGCCATTGCAGCAGCCCGGAACTTGCGCCTTGCATTGAAACTCTGAAGGCGTGAAACAATCTCTGCATCCATCTGTTCTTCCTTTGCCAAATCCCCAGTAACCCAAGGATGTTGAAGAACCTAAAACATAATTACAAAATGAAAAAAAAAAATTTTGGGATTGTTTCGACTTTCGACTACTAATTATTCCAAAGCAAAATTTTTAAGACCATTTGAGTCTGCATTACTATGATTTTTAGGATCCCATTAGCATATAATTGCGAACAAACTGTGCTTAACCTATTTTACATCAGACCTGAGCAGCCGTTGGTCTCAACTGAGGATCAACAGTAAGAAGACTGGAAATCAGTTGCTTAGCTGAAGAAGAAATGCTCTTCCATGTTTTTTCATGAAAGCTGAAGTATCCCTGCATGTTTAAGATTTAGCGTAGGCATTTATTATTGTGTGTAAAGAACTACAATTCCACAACTGATCAGTATGCAAGATATACATAAACAGGAAGACTCACTTGCATAATCATCTGCTGCTTTTGCCTAGTTGATTGTGCTATAAAAGGCGGATACCTAGCAACGCAACATTGAATATATCGTTAGTTTAACAGTATATTGATAAAGCCGAAGAAATAATTTCTTACCAAAAACAAAAAAAAAAAAAGATGAAGAAATTATACTGTATCAAATTTCAATCCATGGGGGGGGACAGTCGTAATTTACTATCCTATGCAAATCTCCAAACCTACTTCAGCATTCACTTTAGTTTCCCTTTCCTTAGCATTCTTTCTTTGTCAAGGAACGACAAGGGAGTGAATAAATACTCTTTTTTTGTCAAGGATGTAAGATGAAGTTAGTCTTGTTTCACCTTTAACAAGAGCTAAAATCAAAGCCCACAATTAATAAAAAAAAAAAGGCTTCAATGGTCTATTTGTGTGTTTTTTCTGTTAAATCTAATATTTGTCCGACTGAGGCAATAATGTCACCCCAAAAAAAAGGCTGAACAAAAACCCAAGTTTTTTTTTTCAATTGTTACTGAAGCTGGAATATGTAATTTCTTGAATTTCTTTGTTGTCCCTTGAAAAAAATTGGCTGGAGAGTTCTAAACTAATTTTTGGTCGAACTTAAGCTCCAAAGTTGCAAATTGGTAAACATGAAACTAAAACATCACTGCCCGAAGTCAGTTAACATACCCGGAGAGGAGGATATAGAGGATTACACCAAGTGACCAAATATCACTCTTGGGAGTAATTTTGTCCTGGGAAAGTGCTTCTGGCGATACATAATCAATCGAACCAAACAATCCAACAACAGAATCAGTAAAATCCTCTACAGAACTCAGTCCAAAATCCATGATCTTCAACGGAGAATTTTCATCTTTATCCAAAAACAGGCAGTTTTCAGGCTTCAAATCCCTATGAATAATCTTAGCTTTATGAAGAGAATTTAACCCTTCAGCAATTTGCCTGACAACAGCCGCAGCTCCAGCCTCTGAGTACCTCTCCTGAGCAACTA